GGAAGGATCTGTGACTTTCCTTCTGGGACACTGTCAAGGGTGACCACAGTGTCCTGAACCCTTTCATTGAAATTGAGGACCAGGACGGGAGACGCTGACAGACTTTCTTGGGCACCTGCCCTGTCCATAGAGGTGATATCATTTCATTGGCAGCTCTGCCAACCCCAGATGGAGAGGGACAGGGGCATCAGACAGAAGCCAAAGGTGCCCTCCCCTTCCCCTGCCCTCCGGCCCCAGTGTGACAGACTGGGACAGGGGAAGAGAGTATGCTTAGGATTTTTGGTATACGGTCTGGACAGTCGGGACATTTCATCATGACCCAGTTGGAAAATGAAAAAGCTCAGTCAGAAAATAAAAAAAAATCAGACTTGGCTGTACTGCTGTAACCTTCCCCAGTGACTCTTGCCTTGTCACATGGATGTCAGAATTTGGGGTGATGTGTCGGAAGTCAATAGGGCAGTGAGAAGGGAGCTGGCCTCACTCTGTGAAGGTCTCACTCATTGAGTCACATTTGGACCAGGACATTCTCCGCCATTTACGCCACAGCAGATGCCACATATTATCAGGACCTCCTGACTCTCTTGACCAGACATTAAGTTCTACTGTCCACGAGTCACCCCGAGATCCCAAAGTGTCCCAGCTATAGAAATGGATGAGGCCCTATTTCCCAGCTGGAGATTAAGGAAGCTGAACAAAATCAGTGGTTTCCAACTTTCAATCTTCCTGAATCCAACAAGGGAAGGTGGAGCCCTTCTCAAAGAAGGGGCATTAGGAGGAGGAAGGGGCAGCGTGGGGACCTCACCTGGCTTCCCCCTGGCTCCACCACGGCTCCAGAGACATCTCTGTGGTCCCTCTGGGGTCAGGAGACGACTCTGTGAAGATCGTGGTGCCACTAAGCAGGCTTTGAATGTGATGCTCTGTGAGCAGGTTCGAGGGATGGGCCTTCCTTTGTGCAGAGGCTAGAAGGTAAATGGGAGGACAAACCCCAGAGACGGCAGACGCTGGACCAAGTTCCCGAGACAAGGGGACTGATGGTCATTCAGTGTTTTTGCCAAGGATGAGAGTGGCCTCCAGGGAGGGTTTAGGAGTCCGGGATGTGAAAGAGGAACAGTCTTGGGTTCGAGTCCCCTCGGTTCCTAGAGCAGGAAGTAGATCTGCATGTAATGCTGAGGTGCTTGGCGGAGTGGTAAGTCCTCGTGAGTGCTTAGTGCTGCTAACCTTACTGTGTCTGCAGGCAGGCGGAGAGCTGGCTGGAAGCAGGATCAGGCCGTGAAGTCTCTGCTCTTTGCCCCTCCCCACACCTCTTTTCGGGTAAAGGAGATGAAGAAAGGGGGGGAGCACCCCTCCCGCGAGGGGAATTTGCTCTTGGCGTTCTGGTCGCTGAGGCTGAGGTCCTGTCTCCTTTCGCTCTCTTTCCTGGGCCATTTTCTTGTCCTTTTGTCCCCTGGGAAGAACACCAGGAGACAATTAAAGAAAAAGGGCTCAGCTGTCCGCAGTAAGAGGACAGAGCGTGCGAGGACGACATATAAAGCTAAGTGCGCTAAGTGGGCAAAACCAGTGCTCCAGAAGCGAGTAAGACCAAGGGAAGGCCGTCCCCGAGAGCTGTAACACAGAACCCAGCAGGAGCAGCAGGGGCCGCAGGCCCCGGCAAGAGCAGCTCTCACTCGCGTGGAGCAGAGCCTCGGCCCAGCATCCTTAATTCCCCGGACGCAGCAGACCGGCTGCAGCTCCTGGCCCCTGGGGTTCCAGCCATTTGGAGCAGGGCTTCTGGCAGCAGAGATCAGATGTCCAACCTTAGCCCCATTATGGAAGGAAGGGAGAACTGGATGGACCCCTGGGAGACCTGGATTTCAGCTCTGCTTCCCCGCTTTTGTGCTTTGTGACCTTGATCAAGGTGCTTCACCTCTCTGAACTCCAATTTTTCTCTCTCGTAGAGGTCGGATACAGAAATGTCTACCACTGCGGGGACGGGCAGAAGCCCTTTCAGCAGGGTGGTCCCACAGATGTGATTTTTGACATTCTATTTAGAGGACTGGGTCTCAAAGTGGAGCCCTTGGGAGGAACAGTATCAGCATTCCTTGGGAAGTTTCTAGAAGTGCAATCGTTGGGCCACACTCCAGACACACTGAGTCAGCAGTTCTGGGGGTGGCATCTGGCAGTCTGGGTTTGAACAGGTCATCTGATGTATGCTGACATTTGGGAACCATCCTTTGTAGGAAAGAATCCCCAGCTTGTTTTCTTGTTCCCTCGCATCGTAGGTGCTAACTTAACTTAGAGCAGCAGAGACAGCGCAAACTCAATGTCCGGGGCTCCAGCTGGGCTCCCAGGCAGTCCCTGGGACTGGTAATGAGAGTCCCTGTTCCAGGAGACATTCGAGGGGGGCTGGGGTGAGCTCTGCACCACTCAGGGTGTTCTCTGCACGTGTGTGTGTGGTCCCTTCATCCCAGACCCGATCAGCTTTCCTCCCTTTTCACTGCCCTTGGCTTTTTTTTTTTTTTTTAAAAAAAAACTTTTCCTCTCCCAGACTCAAAAATTGCTTCCAGTCCGGGAGATGAGAACTTTCCTTTGCCCAACTGCAATTTTTTTATGCCCCGATTTTCTTTAGAGATGCCCTTTTGAAGCTCAAAAGCCCAAGTTTTGAGATTCACAATATGAGCCATTTGAAGCTCACAGGCTTCTCTCTGCTCTTCTGCAATCCCTTCCTTAAATAAATAAATGTCATAAAACCTAGTTGCCGCTAGATTAGGGGAAGGAGTTAGCAGCAACAGGAACCCATGGAGGAGAGCGCACAGGTAGTGATTTCAGTGGCAATGTCTCGCCACATGTGCTTGTAAGACAGAGGGGCAGCCCCTCCCCTGAGCATCGCTGGGCAAGCTTACTCTTTATTTAGGAAACTCCGCACACATCGCTTTGTTGGGAAGACAGCGGCCCACGCTGAGGACGCCACTCTGGTCAGCATCTTAACCCACATTCCATGACCATTGATTGTCAGAACTTTTCTACCCTGTGCATAACCCGCGTCTCTCTTCCTCTGATCTTACGGAAGACCTCATCCTGCTGGAGTGAACCATCCCCACTTTTCACGATCCTCGTCCAGGTACTCCTTTGATGAGAGCTACAGGGCAAAACTGCTTTGTGTCTATTTTAAAACCTTGCAATGCTGGTTTCAATGTGGTTTTTAGTAGTTACACTAGAGAAGCGTTGATTTTATGGTGCCACACTTTTAAGTGTGATCTCGCTGTTGTTGTGAATCCAGTAGGGTGGGGACTTAAAGGCACTGCAAGCAGCCCAGCTTCCACGAGATTAGAGATGCAAAGAAGATTTGAAGAGACTCGTTCCTGGAATCCTACACTCCTGGAAGTGTAAAACTCCACATTCAGCAGGAGTGAGAGAGGGATCAGGTGGATATTTAAATTTCACATGCATATGATGTGTTAGCATTTATAAACTGTATTAATACATGTTAAACATTTGATGGGTAACTAATATGAGCTGGGTTAAAATAAGAGGGGTTGCGAGTCTGTTTCTGTTTCGTAGATAAGTTCATAGTGTCCTTTTTTTTTTTCAGATTCCACATATGAGTGATCTCATATGGTATTTTTCTTTCTCTTTCTGGCTTATTTCACTTAAGAATGACTATCTCTAGGTCCATCCATGGTCACTGCAAATGGCATTATTTTACTCTTTGTTATGGCAGAATAGTATTCCACTGCATAAATATACCACAACTTCATTATCCAGTCATCTATTGATGGACACGTATGTATGTATGTATATGCATGACTGGGACACTGCACTGTACACCAGAAACAGACACATTGTAATTGACTGTAACTTCAATTAAAAAATAAAATAAAATAAAGAAAGTTGAATACATAAATAAAAAGAGAGGGGTTGATAAGATTTAAGGACCAGTCAGAAAGTTATCAAATGGTGTATTTTTGAATCATGCCTTCAATTGCATATGATCTGTGGTTAGAAAAACTCATTGAGGATTATATTTAACTTTTTAATAAAATGTTCTGTTTTATTTTATATAGAAAAGACATATTAGAGCAGAATACCCTTAGTAATAGTAAGCTGAGGTAAGCCTCGGCTAATACCACCTTCTAACTACTGTACAGGAAGAGCTTTCTAGAGGGTTTCCTTGTAGAGATTCAGCAATGCCACAAGGCTGAAGCCAGAGCGACTGCAGGAAATACAATGAGGTCAACCAGCTGGTGCTTCAGATGACCTTGGTTCCAGTTTCCCCATGGTCCTCTGTCCAGTCTTGACCAATGGCACGATTCTGGTTCTAGGTGTAGCTGAAGGTCTAGGTCAAGGTCTGGTTCTAGGTCTAAGTCTATGTCAAGGTCTAGGTCAAGGTCAAGTCTAGGTCTAGTTCTAGTCATTGCACTGACGTGCTCTTCTTGCTCAGCAGAGAAATGGTGGTTATTCCTTTACCTGGGAGGTTGTGCTCCAATTCAGCAGAAAGAGGATGAAGCAGCACAGGAGGTGACAGCCTGGAGCCAATGTGGCTTTTGCTGGGCATCAGTAATGCCAAGTCAGGTCCCATCAGAGGCACACATTCCTGTGTCCTAAGGACACATCCGACTGACTTGTGTCATGGAGAGAAATTAGAGTGGGGCTTTGGCTGTCCTTTCTGAGTGTGATGAAAGATTTGCCCCTCATCCTCCATGCCTGGCTACAACACACCAGCCCAAATGACCTGCAGTTTGCAGCCCAAATTAGACATCAAACAGTCAGTGACTTCCCTCTGGTCAGATAATGAACAGCCTCGATACCACTGTGGAGGGTGATTGGTATTCAGCTCTCATGGGAAATTCTACCTTAATTGCTGCATGCAATGACAGCAGGGGTAGGGGGCCCAAATAACGAGGTGCATCTCTAAATCCATTCAGTTTTGGCTTGGCAGGCATGTGGGTGGAGCCTGATTCTGTCGGCTCCTCTCTCAGGACTTGCTAGAAAATATGATCAGTAGAGATTGAGGAAGATGAGAAAGGATTATTGACCAGAAGGTGTGCCTCAGTGATGGTGAACGTGGAGAGAGATACATCATGTTGCTGCCTCAGAACATTTCCTGTGAGGAGTGCTTTCCCTCCTTGGACCTACAAAGATGGCTTTAAAGTGGGGCATGAGAGAACAGGCAATGGACTAGGAGTCAGTAGGTCTGTGTCCTGCCACTTATAACCACCTGATTTTTGGACCCCGAATCCAACCCCTGAAACGACTGTGTCCTGGTAAAACCCCAATCATTGGGGTGGGAGCTATGTTGCCAGTGCATGCTCAGACTGTCCCTTCTGATTCCTTGTTAACAGCTTCTTTGTCCTCCTGATTCACAGGTATCAGAACTTGTCAGGAGCAAGAAATAGAAAACTCAGCTCAAACTGGCTCAAGCAGAAAAGGATATTTGTTGGCTTAGGTCACTCATTTAGATCAAGGCACTGGGGATCTAGGGACGCCAATGGCCTCATCAGGACCCGGTTTCTTGCCATCTCTCAGTTCTGCTTTCCCCTGTGTTGACTCTATTTTCAGCAGGCTTGCTCCTCCTAGTGGCAAAATGGCTGCAGAAATGCTCAGCTTATATCCTCAAAGCTTCAACTTCTGTGAAGTAGAGAGCTAGCCTCTGACCCAGCATTCTTGGCAAAAGTCTCCTTGCGTTTCACTGGCTTTGGAAAAATCATGGGATGCTCCTGATTTGGGATGAGGTCAAAGTTTCCCCCACCCCACAACTGCAGGAGGTGAAGTTCCACTTGAATCACTTGGGCTAAAACTGGGGGGAAGTTTGATCCCAAATGAAAAGTGGGGGTGTGGCAAGAAGAGGGAATGGATGGATGCAGTGGTACCCTCATTACTTTACCTCCCAAAATGTAGCCTGAAGGCTGACAAAGACTCTTTGACCAAACTTCAGTCAGGCTCCTCTGAGCCCTCTTCTCAACAAAGCCTTGATCTTGGGCTTCCGTGTTCACCTTTTCTCTGCCTTGTTTTAGCAAGAATCCTGTTTAAGTTGGTTTAGACTGAATCTCCACCCTCGACATCTGATGAAATTTTTCATCCTCCACCATCCCTCAGGTGATGATCACCCTGGCCTTCCTTCAGCAAGAATCCTGTCAAGTCAGTTTAGCCAGAAATCCCTCCTTACCCTGGTGTTTCCTCTTACTAGTAGCTTTCCATCCATTGACCCCCACCCTGCTCCTTGGCCAACCCCCGCCGTCCATGCAGTATTCAGAACCGAGCCCAGTTCTCTGCTGAGGCCTCTTGCGCCCCATTGCAGTGGTCCTCAATGGAATCTGTTTTCACTGCTTTAACTACTGCCCAGCTCTGACTTCCCTTGGACAACGTTCTCCAAGAGCTGGGATCTTCAAGCCACTTGATGTGAGTTCTGGAAAGTGGTGTGCTAGTTTCTAAAATTAGCTAGAATTTTTAAGAGGTTTTTATTTTTTAAAATAAGTTAGAGTGAATTCAGTTATCCTTAGCATGCTTCTCAGTGATGGGTATGTGGACATTTATTATACTGTGGTTTCTCTTTTTGTAAAAATTTGAAACTTTTGGTAATGGGAAAGATATATCCTGTAAATAATGTCAATGTCACTCACTCGTTTCTCAAAACACTTCCTTGCAGAGGCGTGAGGAGGCTGGAGCGGGAGCCCTCAGACCTGCCCAGTAGACCTGCAAAGGCTTCCCGGCCAAGTGATGGCTAAGGAGATTCTAGAAGGATGAGGGAAGATGGAGCACCCAGGTGAGTGGGTGAGCGTGCACTTCAAATGCAAAGTGGGAAGGACATTGCAAACTGTAGCGTGCCATGAAAGTATTGTAATTGTGCAGAGGAAGAGTATTTTTGAAACAAAAGTGTGTTTTTCCCTTATTCACTTCCACCCCTCTCATTACCTTTGCTTTTCACCTTACTCAGCCAAGCCCTTCAGTGTTCGCTCTGCCAGGAGAAAGAGGATGACAGCAAAATGAAGACTAGAGAGAGTCTGTTCTTTGCGTTTGAATGTCAAAAGCAGAGGCTTGTGGTGAATAGAAAAGAAATAGAGTTCCCTGGTCTTCCCCACCTCCAGACGGGTGCAGGGGAGGGGGACATGCACACGTCCTGGGGCTGCCGCTCTCTAGTGGTAAAAGCAGGGCTGGGGGAAAGACAGTACCCAATGATGCTCCAAACCGTGGACCATTACGCAGCCATTAAAGTGAATGCCGCTGTAAATCTGTGAATTTCTTAGGATGCGTGCACTGAACCATGCTTTCTGGTTCATGACACAAGCGAGATGGAGAAAATGTATGTTACAAGACCCCTTACGATAAAACCAACGATGATCACCCTAGTGATTAACATATATTTGCATGTTTACAGATATTATTAAAAATATGGACAAAGGAAGGGAAAGGTACTCCTTGTTTCCTGTCATTGTTTCCCCGAGGAGAGAAAAAAGATGGAAGGGGAGGAAAGGAGAAAGAAAAGAAGTGCTCATTCTAACTGCTGAGAATGTTCCTCTCTGGTTGGCTAATTTGTGCTAATAGTGATGGAAAAGCCTGCCTGAAGCCAGAGCTCTTACCACGCTGGTGCTGGCTGCCTGGAGAGGGGGGTGGAGTGGGCTGGGTGGGCTGGAGTTCGGGAGAACTTTCATGTCCTACTTAAACATTTCTGTATTGCTTGATGCTTTGCAAACATTAAGGCATACATTGTATCTCTAATTGTAACAAGCAATGCATATTATATACAGAGAGAGGCACGTATATACACATCTACACATGTTAAAAAAGTATGCGCAATAAAAAAGCGTTTGTGATCATTCCATTTATATTAAACTATATATTTATATATATATGTATAGGAGAGAAATGGAGAGAGAGCTGTGAATATATTACCACCAACTCAAACAGAACAGATTCGTATTAGGAAGCTCGAGATAAAACAATAGTTTTTAACATTTTCAGTAGTTGAGTGTCCCTACACTTCTCTAAATTGTTTGAATTATTTTTTTACAAGGCCCATTGATTCCCGACTTTTAAGCAGGCATTAACAGCACCCATCCTAAAGACAACACATGTGGATTTACCAATGCACAGTAGGAACGTGATAAATGGTTTAAAGGGAAGTAATACAACTCTTAAAATCCAGTCAAGCTGTTGTCATTGTGGAGAAAAAAAATTTTTTTTTGCTTGGAGAAGCCAAGGGTGGCCAAGAAGAAGCTCACACACCATCCTCTCGTTAGAAAGAAAAGCAAAGGCAGGTTCAGCTCAGGAAGGTCCAAGAATGATGGAGAGTGGAAGAGAGAGTTTCAGCCCGATACCTTACAGCCAGAACTTTGCAGCAAGGGCTGTGGGCCTTGTGCATCTGATGTGCTGAGAATCGACCTTCTAACCACGAACAAAGTCAGAGACATGAGATGGACTTTCAGTTTCCTGCTACTGCTTGGAGTGTGCGAGGCTGGGAGGCTGCATAAATTAATGGCTAATGGTGCTGCTTTCCTGATGCCCCGGCTAAGCTGGGAGCCACTCTTTCGTCTTTCTTCTGTCCATCTGGTGAGTCTGTGGGGTTGTGCGCACTATTTTATTCCCAAGGGCCAAGCAGAGCGTCTGGTGCAGGACAGCCGCTCAGTGATTTTTGGGTGATGCACCAGTAAGTCAGGGAATGAGTGAAGGGAGGGTTGAATAACTGAGTGAATAGGTGAGCCAAGTGAATAAACTTGTATCTAAGAAGAAACCCTGACATGGTTTTGAATTATTCCTCCAGGCGAGGGTGGCAGTGTGTACGGCCGTCCATCATCCTTACCGTCTCTCCTGGCACAAAGATGCACTTGAGGACCATGACCTGTTGGCTCGCAGCACGCAGATGGCAGCCGTGGACGGGAGCAAAATTAACTAGCCTCCATCAGCTTCCTTGTCAAACACCGCTGAACCCTTATCACATGCATGGCATTGACCAGAAAGATTAAGTGAGAGATGGAGGAATTCTAGAAACTCCTCTCAAAGAATGTTCAGATTTACAGGGTGGCTATTCGATAAAGGCATAAGAATATCCCCTTCTAAAATGCAAAACTGTACCTGGGTAGATGCTGTCATCCCTGCAGACCCTCTGGGGAAAATGGTGCCGGAGGAATGACGTCGGAGGTCACAAAGGTTCCCCAAGGAAAGGAGGAACAGTACAGCACAGCGGTAAAGAGCGCGGACCCCGAAGCCAGGTCACTTGCCTGGAATTCCAGCTCCCACTAGTGCCTGAATGTAGCCAAACGATTTCACTTTCCCCACCTGTAAAATGGGTATAATGACAGTAATGATCTCCCGATATTGTTGTGAGGATTAAGTAAGCCAATACACAGGAAAGGCTTAGAACAGCGCCTGGCGCATCATAAACGTGATAGGTGTGAGCTGGCAGCCTTACTCTCCACCCTGAAGAGCTGGTTAGAGAGCACGGCGGGGGGGACCCTGGGAACAGAGGGGTGCAGCACAGAGCAGTGGAGAGTGTTTGGTTGGCAAGTTAGGCTAACCTGGTTTGAAGCCTGGTTCTACCATTTTATACCCAGGGTGACCTTGACCTAAACTCTCGAAAGCGCAGTTTCCTCACTTACGAAGCGGTAATAACAACTCCACCTTCCCTGAGAACATACGTTAGCCACGCCACGCTAGAGGGTGGTTATTATTGAAGAGAAGCGGAGTCAAGCGGCTCCCGGGGGGAGGTGAATGAATTAAGCCTGATGACACGTCTTGCTTCTTCTCCATCCTTCCCTTCTTCCCCCAGGTCTGTTCGAGGTTTCATCATTACCGGTTTGCAGTTCTATTTTCATCATGTGAAAGGTTTACAGTATTTCTTCCCCCTGCATCTTTATCTGCTATAATTTGGGTACTATTTTTACACAACGAGGCCATTTTTAACCGAGAACAGATTCAATTGTCTTTCAGCATATATCATTGTTTATCTTAATTAATGCTAAAATATTCTTAGGGGGAAAAACACATCCCACAGAGTATTATGCAAGGAAACTTAGCATTCATTTTTGCCTCCCTCTTGTCTGGCATATCAATTTATAAAGGTTTTAGTATCCTGTTATTTCAGTGACAAGAAGGCACGCTCTTTAACGCAGACGCCCATCTGTGGGAATTAAGTCGCAAGGTGTCCACAGCAGGTTGGGGGATCAGCACCAGCAAGCTGTGTGTTGGGAGATGGAAGACTGACAGCTGAAGGAAGACGGGGACTCTGCAGCCGTGAAGTCTGCAGTCACAGGCTTCGCCTCTGATTGATCGCGGAGCGTTCCTTAAGTAGAGCTGATCCAGTCCTGGCTCTGGGTTTGGCATGCCCTAGTGGGGCTGTTAGAACTCCCAGCCACTGATGGCCATCTTCGTTTTCACTCAGCATCCTCAGTGTTCATTCCCCTTCCTTCTAACCAGATGCCCCGCTTGGCCCTGAGGGAATCACCCCTTCCGCACTTGGCCCAGTTGTTTTGGGAGAAGCTGACTCCCTCCTCAGTTCCCAGGGTGGACATGCAAGGCAGAGCTGATCGATCGATACATATTAGCTCCCTGGCCACCGTGACTGGGGGAGGGCTGGCCATGTTCTAACCCAGCAGGACCCTACGGGTCCTTCCCTGGACAGATTCCTCACTTACCCAGTGGTAGCATCCTCTGTCTGCCTCTTGTTTGTAGAAAAACTTCAGCCCCCTAGGCCTTCCCTGGGTTCCAAAGAACAAATTTAATCAGAGAAGTGAGAAAATGCAGAAACGAAGGAAAACAGTCAAGCAAGACAAAATAATAATAGTTTAGCCATTAAACAAAGTCAAGGACCTTTAGCTCTTCCTCAAGGGCTCTAGATAATATTCTGAGCCGTGTCCTTGAGCTGGTGGGGATAGAGCAACCCCCACCAGAGAGAAGAAGTTAACTGTATCCTGACCTCAAGCACATAGTCCCCAGGCTGGTGGGAACCAGAAGGTTGATAATGTTGACTCCCGATTGCCTCACCTCCCACCAATCAGAAGAATGTTCACTAGCTGATCATGCACCCCACAACCCTCTCCTTCACCCTATCTTTAAAAAATTTCCCCTGAAAGCCATCAGAGAGTTCAGATCTTTTAAGCATTGGCCATCCATACTCCTCTCTTGGCTTTGTAATAATGCTACACTTTCCTTCACCACAACACAGTGTCAGGAGACTGGATTTACCGCATGCAGGCGAGCAGACCCAAGTTTGGTTCGGTAACAATGTGACCCAATCAGAGCCAAAGAGACTCCCTTTTAGGACTTGAGATGGAACCACTGGGAAAAGGGGTTTTCTTTCCACTGGGATGCTAAGCTGGTAGAAGTCTTACCTGGAGCTTTCCTCTTTACTGTGAAAAGAAGAGGGCTTGTCTGAGAATGAAGCCAACACGAAGCTAAGAGTCGAGGGATGGAAGCAGATTCTTGATGCCATCTCCTGGACTGTGGATCAAGTCTTGCTCAAAGCTAGACTACCCTCTGTACCTTTAATGTAAGCCAATTGATTCCCTTTTTTGCTTAAGCTAGGTTGAGTTGGGTTTCTGTCACTTGCAACCCAGAGAGCTCTGAGGAGTGCAGAGTCTCGCTAAGGAACCATGAGAAGCTGGGATATGCTGCTGATCAGAGGAGAAGGATGTGGTCTTGACTCATTCTGGGAGCATCTCTCACCCAAGACCCTGCTTGTCTTCCTAATATTGGGCAATGGTTTGGTACCTGGAAAGTTCCAAGTAGTCTTTAAATCACACAGTTAGTTTAGAGGAACTCCCAAGAGGC